GAGACTAAATTGGATGAGCATTGACCTGATTTTTGGCTACATGTAGATTCTTCAATTTTGAAGCATTTTGGCATCCTAGCATCTTGGTGACAGTTAAAATTTTATGTTTAGCATGGACACATGTCGTACTTAGTGTGGAAACTTCACTAATCTTCCTCATGAAGGTGCCTTTATTTACACTATTTTTTTTGGTGATGTCAGGACACATAGGTGTGTGTGTTCATCTTAAAGAGCCAACAAGTAATTATGTGTGTGTACTTGTCTTGAGGAGCCAGAAGTAGTGAAGTAGGGGTGCTAATGTATATGTGCATACATTCACTCCAAAAAGGTATTGCCTAACACTCTTTTTCGATGCATTTATGCATGCAATGGAACAATGGAACTCTTAAAGTAAATAAAGATGCATTTTTTTTTATCTTATTGACAAGTTTTGACTGATTACTCTTTTGTTGGGGAATTATTCTGCCATCAATTGGGTGTGTATGGTAACAAAGAAAAAAAGAAGAAGATAAGACCATATAGTCAAAGCCCAAAAAACCAAGAGGAGGCAGTGGCAGATATCGTTAACTTGACGATTGTGCCTGTCATGCCACACAATTCATGGGCGCACAAAGTTTAATGCATTTTAATGGAAGCTCTAGACCCATTTGCTGCATACTCATTTGATTGTCGACCAGTTTTGACAGATTACTTGCCTGTTGATGAATTATTCTCGTAGCAATTTGGTGTTTACAATAACAAGAAAAATAAATAAACAAATAAAATAAAAAAATCAATGGCCAATAAATCAAGAAGAGGCAGTAGCAGATACCATTGACTTGAAGATTGCACATGTCATTGGCACAATTCACCGGCGCAAAGAGTTGAGGGCATTTAATGGAAGCTCAATCAAGAGCCATTTGCTTGTCTGCCACCTGTTATTGCGAATGAATATTCAATTTAATTTTGTGGCTTCCTTGCATTGAAAAGCAAACATGCGGCTATCAATTCCTTATATCAATTCATTAGTATAGAATGCCAATGTTTTATTGGAGGAGGAATAAATAGCTGAAGGTTTGCAATTAATGCAAGGGAGTCGTACAGTATAGCTGATTCTTCATTGGCAGTAAAAGGTGGTAAACACTTGAGCTTGAATTAAGTAGGTATCACTTTGGTTGTTTTGAGCATCCAAAGTTAGTTGTGGTTTCACCGCCTACAACTAAAAACCTTTTTATTGGATTTTGGCAGGGTAAGTTTAGAGGTGTGTACAGGGTTTAAGGGCTCAGGTTTGAGATTTGAACTTGAGTGGTTCATGCTCGTGTTCTCATTTCTCTTAATAATAAAGAAGGGACCAGAGCATAACTTGTGGTCGTAGGCAGGATTTTACCAAACTACGTAAACTTTGGTGTCAACTTTTTTATATGTGCTTTAAATTTTGTGTTTTCTATTTTGTTGTCATTTGTATTGACGACATTGCTGTTGGAATTCCCTGAAGTCATTAATTAGGAAAGTGTTTTATGTATCACTGCTGTTACTACTTGGAACCACCATTATGGTCTTGTTTTCTCTGATGACTTAGATATTTGTGATGCATATGTGGATAGGTGGGGGCATGNCACTATTTATATATGTCTCGGAATCAATTGAGACGGCAAGAACGGTTTGTGTTTCTTGTTGCTCATTGATTGACTTGCCGTTTCCAGGTACTCTCGCTCTCTCTCTCTCTCTAAACCTCTCCTTCGTTGTACATTCAGTTTGTTCCCTTTCTGTGGCGGTTTTGGGATATTGATCAGGCTTTGTATGAATCGTTTGTGAATTTCAAATTTAAAATAGAGGTGTAGATCTGTTTTGGGTTTTGTCAGAGAGTGTCCATAAGTGTGTAGTAGTTCAGGGTTTATTCTTTCAATTGATATGTATCTTTTCATTTGCTTTTTTTGGTACTATAGATTGATTTCCAGTAGACCCTTGTTGGTACTTGCTTTGATCTGTCTGAGCAATGTGGCGAATGATGTCTTTGATTGAAAGGGAAACAATGAGCCCAAATAATTGGTGGCCACTTTTAAAAATAGTTAGGCAATTTGGGTTTGTGTTTTTAGGATCTTCATGTAGTCGTGGTGTCAATGCTATATCGAACAATTAAAAAAAAATTGCTATAGCGAGCCCAAATATATGGTTGAATTTATTTCTCTTGCATATGTAAACTGCATGGAAATCCTTTGAGAAAGAGTCACGACCATATTAGGAATTAAGAGGGTGTTACTTCATCTTGCAGTTGGAAGTGTTAGGTGTTTATGGGTTTTTGTGGATAAGGTTTTGTGAAGGATTTAACCGGAAAAGATGGTTCTCAATGATGGTTACTAGGAGGAGTCTCTTGCATGGATTTCTTAGTTGAGCTTCATGGCTTAACCTGGCTTTTAAAGGGATCATCATAAGACTTTAGGTGCACCTGGGAAATACTACCCTCAATATTATTCATTTTTAAAAAAATTTGGAAATATAAATTTCTTGTCGTAGCTGTAAAAAGTATTGGGCTATCAACTGTGACTTGTGGACTCGCAAATGAGGGCAACCACTTTGTGTAAATAATGAAAAATATTGCACCCTGTAAACTTCTCTTGGCACCTCTGTTTGGTGGAGACTAAATTGGATGAGCATTGACCTGATTTTTGGCTACATGTAGATTCTTCAATTTTGAAGCATTTTGGCATCCTAGCATCTTGGTGACAGTTAAAATTTTATGTTTAGCATGGACACATGTCGTACTTAGTGTGGAAACTTCACTAATCTTCCTCATGAAGGTGCCTTTATTTACACTATTTTTTTTGGTGATGTCAGGACACATAGGTGTGTGTGTTCATCTTAAAGAGCCAACAAGTAATTATGTGTGTGTACTTGTCTTGAGGAGCCAGAAGTAGTGAAGTAGGGGTGCTAATGTATATGTGCATACATTCACTCCAAAAAGGTATTGCCTAACACTCTTTTTCGATGCATTTATGCATGCAATGGAACAATGGAACTCTTAAAGTAAATAAAGATGCATTTTTTTTTATCTTATTGACAAGTTTTGACTGATTACTCTTTTGTTGGGGAATTATTCTGCCATCAATTGGGTGTGTATGGTAACAAAGAAAAAAAGAAGAAGATAAGACCATATAGTCAAAGCCCAAAAAACCAAGAGGAGGCAGTGGCAGATATCGTTAACTTGACGATTGTGCCTGTCATGCCACACAATTCATGGGCGCACAAAGTTTAATGCATTTTAATGGAAGCTCTAGACCCATTTGCTGCATACTCATTTGATTGTCGACCAGTTTTGACAGATTACTTGCCTGTTGATGAATTATTCTCGTAGCAATTTGGTGTTTACAATAACAAGAAAAATAAATAAACAAATAAAATAAAAAAATCAATGGCCAATAAATCAAGAAGAGGCAGTAGCAGATACCATTGACTTGAAGATTGCACATGTCATTGGCACAATTCACCGGCGCAAAGAGTTGAGGGCATTTAATGGAAGCTCAATCAAGAGCCATTTGCTTGTCTGCCACCTGTTATTGCGAATGAATATTCAATTTAATTTTGTGGCTTCCTTGCATTGAAAAGCAAACATGCGGCTATCAATTCCTTATATCAATTCATTAGTATAGAATGCCAATGTTTTATTGGAGGAGGAATAAATAGCTGAAGGTTTGCAATTAATGCAAGGGAGTCGTACAGTATAGCTGATTCTTCGTTGGCAGTAAAAGGTGGTAAACACTTGAGCTTGAATTAAGTAGGTATCACTTTGGTTGTTTTGAGCATCCAAAGTTAGTTGTGGTTTCACCGCCTACAACTAAAAACCTTTTTATTGGATTTTGGCAGGGTAAGTTTAGAGGTGTGTACAGGGTTTAAGGGCTCAGGTTTGAGATTTGAACTTGAGTGGTTCATGCTCGTGTTCTCATTTCTCTTAATAATAAAGAAGGGACCAGAGCATAACTTGTGGTCGTAGGCAGGATTTTACCAAACTACGTAAACTTTGGTGTCAACTTTTTTATATGTGCTTTAAATTTTGTGTTTTCTATTTTGTTGTCATTTGTATTGACGACATTGCTGTTGGAATTCCCTGAAGTCATTAATTAGGAAAGTGTTTTATGTATCACTGCTGTTACTACTTGGAACCACCATTATGGTCTTGTTTTCTCTGATGACTTAGATATTTGTGATGCATATGTGGATAGGTGGGGGCATGCTTCTAGTTTCTACTTTATAGCTTAAGTTGTATTATCATTGGTTATGAAGTCCTCCTTAGAATGTTTGAGGAGGAACCTGTTGCTAGATTCGATTTATAGCCTCCGCAGAATTGAAGGTGACATATTCAGTTGAGATTTCCATATCTGNTGCTTCTAGTTTCTACTTTATAGCTTAAGTTGTATTATCATTGGTTATGAAGTCCTCAGAATGTTTGAGGAGGAACCTGTTGCTAGATTCGATTTATAGCCTCCACAGAATTGAAGGTGACATATTCAGTTGAGATTTCCATATCTGTGGTCAGAGTACATATGTGAGTGCTGATGACATATTCAGTGGAAGAAGTGCCTCAGAGAAAATGATGAGATTAAATTGTGCTAGTGCTTCTGAATAGAGTCCAGTAATGGAGACTCGTTTCTTTTTTACTTTTATTGTTGGAGGGTATGAATAGATCCTTCTACTTTAATTAATGAAGCTGAATGCTTACTGAATCCTTTGATTTAATTTTGGTGAAGTGAGCAATTGTTTATACTATCAATGGCAACTACAACTTCATACTTTGAGGATCTGCGAATTAAAACCGAGGTCATTGATCCTCCCCAAAACAAAGACATGANTGATGAGATTAAATTGTGCTAGTGCTTCTGAATAGAGTCCAGTAATGGAGACTCGTTCTTTTTTACTTTTATTGTTGGACGGTATGAATAGATCCTTCTACTTTAATTAATGAAGCTGAATGCTTACTGAATCCTTTGATTTAATTTTGGCGAAGTGAGCAATTGTTTATACTATCAATGGCAACTACAACTTCATACTTTGAGGATCTACGAATTAAAACCGAGGTCATTGATCCTCCCCAAAGCAAAGACATGGTGGATGTTGGTGAACATGTGAATGATACTGCTCAAAGTGCTCTAAAGCCTAACTTGACTGGGTCTGGCAGCGTTCGTGAACTATTGGAATGCCCAGTGTGCTTAAATGCAATGTACCCTCCGATACATCAGGTTTGATTACCTTTCACAAACTAGCTTGCCTCTTTTCCCTGATGCGGATGAAAGTTTTCCAAATTTCTTTGGTTGTAATATATTTTGTTGCTCTTCTATTATGTGTTTTGTTGTTTATCTTTTGGATATCTAAAAGGTTTAGTTTTAGATTCATACCATTAATTTTTAGTTTGGCACAAACTCTTGATTCCTATTATTCCAAGTTTGAATGGACATAATTTTCTTTCTATACTTTAATTATTGTGGTTGGTCATCATATACATCGGGAAAACAAGAAGAGTTTGCAAATAATCATTAATACTGGTCCATGATTTTTGTTCATGTCGTCTTGTCTAATTATGTTTTTTAACTTGCATGCATCATCGTTATCTTTTAATTCTTGAAAACTAGTATGTACCATTGGTCTCTTTCTCTCTCTCTCTCTCTCTATCTGTGTGTGTGTATTAGCCTTTTTTATGGATGGATCTTTTATCCTACCTATATTGCTTTCTAATGGATCTCTTGTTTCCCTTTTCTCGCCTTAAAGGCTTTTTATTTTAAAGAAACCTAAGTATGCTTAAGGCTTAAAACAATTATTCCAGATATAGTGGTGGACAATTGATGAAAGAAAAAGATCAGGTCACAAGACAAACCAGAAAATGCCAAACCAAGTATATGTTAGGTGTGCATATCGTCTTTATTATTTGAAAATGTCATCTAACGTGTACACCATTGTCAAGGAAAGAGATGATATTGTGGAGATTCAATGTNTATACATCGGGAAAACAAGAAGAGTTTGCAAATAATCATTAATACTGGTCCATGATTTTTGTTCATGTCGTCTTGTCTAATTATGTTTTTTAACTTGCATGCATCATCGTTATCTTTTAATTCTTGAAAAATAGTATGTACCATTGGTCTCTTTCTATCTCTCTCTATGTGTGTGTGTGTATTAGCCTTTTTTATGGATGGATCTTTTATCCTACCTATATTGCTTTCTAATGGATCTCTTGTTTCCCTTTTCTCGCCTTAAAGGCTTTTTATTTTAAAGAAACCTAAGTATGCTTAAGGCTTAAAACAATTATTCCAGATATAGTGGTGGACAATTGGTGAAAGAAAAAGATCAGGTCACAAGACAAACCAGAAAATGCCAAACCAAGTATATGTTAGGTGTGCATATCGTCTTTAATTATTTGAAAATGTCATCTAACGTGTACACCATTGTCAAGGAAAGAGATGATATTGTGGAGATTCAATGTTATTTGGATTTTCATTTTCTTGGCTAATGTAGCTTTTGTGAATTTTGTAACATAAATCTCTGTAATTCTGATTGGTAGTACTGTAGTACTTTTCTGATTGAAGGTTGATGATTAGTCTGTTAAATGTATGGACAATGACACTTCAACTGCTCAATGTCAGTTACTTCGNTTCTATCTCTCTCTATGTGTGTGTGTGTATTAGCCTTTTTTATGGATGGATCTTTTATCCTACCTATATTGCTTTCTAATGGATCTCTTGTTTCCCTTTTCTCGCCTTAAAGGCTTTTTATTTTAAAGAAACCTAAGTATGCTTAAGGCTTAAAATAATTATTCCAGATATAGTGGTGGACAATTGGTGAAAGAAAAAGATCAGGTCACAAGACAAACCAGAAAATGCCAAACCAAGTATATGTTAGGTGTGCATATCGTCTTTAATTATTTGAAAATGTCATCTAACGTGTACACCATTGTCAAGGAAAGAGATGATATTGTGGAGATTCAATGTTGTTATTTGGATTTTCATTTTCTTGGCTAATGTAGCTTTTGTGAATTTTGTAACATAAATCTCTGTAATTCTGATTGGTAGTACTGTAGTACTTTTCTGATTGAAGGTTGATGATTAGTCTGTAAAATGTATGGACAATGACACTTCAACTGCTCAATGTCAGTTACTTCATTCTTAATAAATGACGTTGATAAGTATTAGAAGGTTAATGCAAACCTTTGTATTTGTTGTTGGCTAGCTAAATTATGAAAAATTCGAGCTTGAGGTAATTGGCTTTTTACTTATCAATCAGTAAATGTCTTACCGAATTCAGAAATTCCATAGATGTGTGGATATTCATCAAAGGTGCATATTTAGTCTTCTCAGTGGCCTTTGCTGCTAATAAACATAGCTTACAGTATGTGGAATTTATGTGTATGTTTTGAATTAGTTCCTTTGGCTCCCCATTATTTGTTTTTTGGTACAAGGTATCATTTTACCTGCTGTAAGCTATTACTATACTGCATTGGAGTCTATTGATAAGATTTCCAATGTAATAGAACCGACAATGGAAGACGTTGTAATCAGTGATGGATGGTTTTCCAAAAGGTTATGTATGTACACATACCCACACACATAAACATTTTGCTAAAAGAAGAAGTGTGCTATTAAGGTAGAGAGGAGATAAAGATTACAAAATGGAGGATGAATTCAACTGGTGACTGATGAGTGTGGTTCACATTCTAGACTACCTAGAGTTGGCTATCTTAATGGAAAAAGAAGTGGACGATTTTCTTTTTGGATGATGAGGCAATTTGTTCAACATGCGCTTTTTATTTGAAGTAAAAAAATTTAATTGCCAAACGATGCTTTGAAGAAATTTTTTTTCCCTATGTAAATGTCTTAAATCCCTCTGAAATGTTCTAAACGTATACAATATAAAGTTATTGAATAATAGTTGAAGAGTTTTAAGTAGTCTTAGATAGTACATTATTACTATTCTTGTAATAATCATACTATTTGAGAGTATACTAGTCTTTTCTGTTTATTGTGATGACTATATACTATTGGAGAAGGACAGGTTGGATTAACAATTCTTTCCTCCTCTCCCACAATTCTTCATCTACCTGTTCTCCTAAACTTTGCAAAGAGTACTTCTCTGGCTTGTTTTTACTTGCACAGTTGTAACTCATTTGTGGGGAANGGGGGGGGGGGGGGGGGGGGGGGGGGGGTGTCTTCCCTTGTGTTTTTTTTTTCTTGGGAAAAAGGCAAAATATCCTATTTTGTGACTCCATGCTTGTCCGGAGGCTAGTAATATTGATTTCAATTCTTCTCAACACCTGGATAACCTTTTGTCATGATTGAATGTGTGACACGCTAATTATGTTGTTTTTGTGATCTCTAGGTTTTCAGTTGCTATGGTCAGTATTTCTGTTTGCACTTCGAAGCATTCCAGCTTAAGATGGCTCCCGTCTACATAGCATTCTTGCGGTTTATGGGTGATGATAACGAGGCAAAGAATTACAGCTACAGTCTTGAGGTTGGGGGGAATGGGAGGAAGCTGACTTGGCAAGGGGTGCCTAGAAGCATAAGGGACAGCCATAGGAAGGTTCGTGACAGTTTTGATGGTCTCATCATCCAGCGGAACATGGCGCTTTTTTTCTCCGGTGGAGACCGGAAGGAACTGAAGCTCAGGGTTACTGGTAGGATTTGGAAAGAACAGTGATGGGATTGTCAGATTGCAACCTATTCCTACTATTTTTTACCTGAGATTAGTGTCATTTAGCGGTATATGGAGTCTTCTGTTCATGTATTTTTTGGGGTTTTAAAGTGGCAAACTCTCTTTGCTTGTCTATGCATGAAATACATGAGTGGGAAGGCGTTATTAATGCATTGATCATATGCTTATTTATGGATAGATTACGAATCTGTTCTATTGTGACTTCCAATTGGACTTTTGTTTGCCTTTGTGCATATAATCAACATGCCAATGATATAGCCACTTTGGGAGTGCACGATCTATTTAGATGTTGAAGTAATGGAAAATCTATAATAATAAAACTGAACGTTTTACCTGATTCTATCTGTGTCAATAAATAATTTAAAATATCTCAGACTTTTTAGAACAGGTCTGAGTCGGATAGCATTGAGCTCTTTTAAACACTTAACTTCGAAAAACAAAATAGTTTAGATCATTTAATTTTAACGGTTTGACTTATTACTTATATTTAATAATAATGATACGGATAAAGTGATGTACATATCATTATTATTTTCTATTTTGACAAATTCAATTATGTCGATGTATACCAGATCTAGTGGGCCAGTAATCATGTTGGTGGAACATCTGAGAAGGCCATTCGGCGTCTAATGTAGTTGGTGAATATTGTATCATTGTCGCATTGATACTCACATGGACATATGTATTTGGAATTAATAGAGAATTCCAAGGCGATTGTGATTTAGGGTTAGCGATTGACTTATGAGCAATGCTATGCTCCGATGCATAAAATTCTGATACGTTTTATTATTGTCTTATGCTCTCTATTTGGTAGAAATGATAGAAAATAAAAGTAAGAATGAGACATTTTTTTTTTTTTTTGTGTTTGATTGGATGGATAGAAAATAAAAATAATTAATTTTTTTTAATTTTTTTTGTGCTTACTAAAATTAAGGGTGACAATCGAGTCGTGTCGTATTAGATTCGTGTTGAGTCATAAAATTATGAGTCTTTTATATTTCTTATTTGGATGTCAGATCATTTTCAAGTTTGTGTCGTGTTATAATTAAGTTCGTGTCATTGTGTTGAGTCGAAAATTTTCATCCTAGATAAGATGAAACAAATATTTTTTTTAATTTAAATTATATATATATATATATATATATATATATATATATATATATATATATTATCATTGTATTTTATATGAAATTAATGTATACATAATATATAAAAAAATAAGATACATCTCAACACAAATAATCAACTTTTCATCCACTTTCTTTCTAATTTTAGAGGAATTAATTTTAGTTAGTTAGAAAAAAAGTTAATCTATCTATTTTTTCATCCTTCTTATTTTCCTTCTTTACCAAACATAATATTTTATTTATTCCTCCAACTTTCCATCCTTCTATTTTTATATCTTACCAAGCGAAACATTATTGTCCCTCTCGCCTACTATAATTGTGCATGAACCAAAAAGAAAAGAGATTTTAATTTGGTGGGTCAAGAGGGAATTTTAACAATGGGAAGATGTTATGGTACCTACGATGCTGTCAAGCACTTGACAAAGCCACCGTAAAGGGTCCCATTTTGTTCAAGTTCCCTATTTATTTTTGTTCGATTAAAGGTATGTCCTGATTCCCGAGCAGAGAAAGACAAAGAAGCAAAGAGGTATAAAAAGACAGTTTAGTGCTCGAGACTCCCACTTGCAACAAAGTCTAAAAAGATTCAACAGGGTCTATTAATATATTATGGAATAGACCTTTAACAACGACAACCGGTAGGTTTTTTTTGTTTTGATAAATAACAACTGGTCGTTCACATGGCAAGGTTATTGAATATAACAATGATACATAGCACGTATTAATAACCAATAATAACAGAACACCATGTAAACAGAATACATATACACATTGTGAAAATAGAAGGATTTAATTACCAACCATTTGTTTGTTACAATCATGATTAATGATTGTAACAAATGTTTATTCTCATAAGCCGAGACAAAAACACTGCAACGCAGTTAATTTATCATAAAACTTCGCCCAAAAATTCAACGGCTAAAACATGTGATTAGAAGCAGGCAGGCTGAGGTATGGGACTTGTCATAATATTAGTAGCAATTAACTGAATATGCATCCCATCCTTGAAGCCGGTACTCACGAGCTGCCTCTGCAGGGTTTGCCGCCTTTATAATTCCTCGGCCAACAATTATGATGTCGCTACCTCTATCAGAAATGACCTGAAACAGCAATATTGTCTCCACAACTGAAACCCCGTAAAATTCATACATAGATAGGTAACATGTATACCATACATGACAGCTTTCTTGATGCATGCCTTGTTTCATTTCCAAACTAAGTAAAAAGTTTTTCCTTTTCGGGATTTACTGTTCTACATGAGCATTCTATAAAAGCGAGAATATATACTATTTAAATCGGTATAAAGTCAGCAATCAGAGGAAATCATATTGGCAAATTCAATCTTCAATAATAATTATTTTCTAAATCAGCCCATTAATATGTCCAGAGTCATCATTTGGATGTTCTCTGTTTACACGAGAGAATGGGGTACTGGTTTAAAATAAGGGTAACAGAATCTTGTTCTTGTGCCAACAAATAGTTTTTTTTTTTTTTTTGAAGTCATGTGGTGTTTTGCCTTACACGTGATCCACATAACTTCTACACGTAAAGTAGATGATCAATCTTTTGGGCACAATAACAAGTGGGATTTGCAGGATTGACATCGTACACCAAATAAAAGAGCAAGTTGTAGCTTTCAAACTCTACAGAACCCCCATGTGCCCACTAACCATCACCATAGTTTCAGATTATACAAAACAAACTCTATTCTCAGGTTGAAAGCATTTTGCTATACTTGTTCCTTCCACATGCTCTGTGGTTTCCAAGATCAAATACAGAAAAACTTCAGTATATGCCATGACCACAGATTAGTTCACTTTCCACAGCAATCAAGATCAAATTCAAAGTTAAGTTTTGGGCATCATTTACAACTTAGAACTTAGACAAGTTCAACAAGTTAATTCACCAACGTTAAGTTCAACTAATTTCAGTTCTTAAACAATAGCCAACTATCTAAACAACCAGAATCAGACCAGTAGGACAACTACAGTTGCATACTGTTTGAGTAAGTTCATTTCAATAAGTAATTGTTTCTCTCCCACAGGTTCACTATATCTCTAATTAAAAATGCTAAAATTCAGATGATGAATTATGAAAAATTAATAGCCAGTCTGTCTGGCAAGATGATGTGTGTCACTTCTAATTCAAGTTGATCCAAGCCCAACATTTAAAATATTCGTACCATACCTAATTCCACAAACAGAGTACATAAGGATAACAAGGAACAGAAGAATATCTGGGTAAAAAAAATTTCCTACTAGTAAAATTATAAGTATCTAAGTCAAATCATTAATAAACTTCTGTTTCCTATAAAACAAATCCCAACTAGCCCTCAAACCCTTAGCAACCCTGAGTAGAACATCCCGTGGTACAGAGAAAAGGAAATTAAGAAAAAAAATAAAATTTGAAGCAATATTTACTTTGTTATTTTAGTGCGAAGCAATCCAGTGAACAGTGAATGGAACTTACAGAAGAAGGGGTGTTATACTGCTGGCCTAGAGCATCTCCACCTTTTACCAATTGAACACCAGGGGTTGCATGAATAAAGGCTGGATTTCCTGGTCCACCTGGCCACGAAGCTGGATTAACAGAGATGAAGCCAATGACAAAATCTGAATGATCCTCAGCAATTTTCAATGCTGCTGCTGTGTAGTCTCCCTTGGCAAGGTTACCAGAGGAGCTCATTTCAGCAAGCAAAAGTAGTCCCCTACCATGAGGCAAACCCTACGCGCAGCGTAAGCATTCCAAGTTAGACAATTAGTTTAGAGGCCTTACTATGGTCCAAACTGATACCAATTAAATCTACAAATACAAACCTTCAATTTCAGACCATCCACAATTCCTGGACCTGAAATAATGTGAGCATTGACTATATCTGCCCAATCCAATATACGGAAGATACCTCTGCATACAACATAATTAAAAGCCCTCAGTAGGTAACAAAAGCAAGTGTTGGGATTTGATATAAACAGGATTAAAAAAGCAAAGTCTCACCCTTCGTACTGCATTGTCACCGTGTTACCAATGTCAGCAAACTTACGATCTTCAAATACTAAGAAATTATGCTTTTCTGCAATCTTCAGAAGATGGAAGCAAAATTAGGTACAACATAGCACTAAAACCACCCAAAGAATCTGGATTGACCAAATAACATAGGCCAATTGTCATTCATTGAACACTAAGGGTAACCTCCCAAGTATCATGGATCTTAATAATTTTTTCCCTAATAAACACAATCTGAAAATGGATTGCTTACAATGCATCTGGTTTGGCAGTGATTGTGTGCATCAAAAGTTTAGTCGCAGCCATGAGTACAAAAGACGCATGGTTGATACAATCCCCATTACCAAAAAGAGAGATTAAAAAAAGATTCTGTGTACAAAGAACGCCTGGTTGATAGTTGGTAGAATCCTTCAGTTATCCGTCACCAACAATAAAACATTCTATGCAATGAATGCAGGGGCTGGAATTCTAGAATTTCACTCAGCCATGAAGAGGAAACTGTACTATATGACTCTTTGCTTAAGAGCTGGCTCTTCACACTTGCTTTGACGATGCGACCAGAAGAGAACAAATGGAGGGTCAAAGTCAAAAGACCAGTTCAGGCTCAGTAGTTGTATTCATCACACCGCAAAGGCACTCTGCATTTCTGTTTTGTGTTACTGAAAGGCTGTTCAAACTAATTTTGGAGTTTTTGCCCCAACCTAGGTTAGGGAGTCATTAGATCGTAGTTTTCTGCTAAAAACAAAAGGATGAAGATTATTGAATGCTGCATGCCATCTAGAACAGCATCAATTGTTCTTCCATGTTTCACACCATAAGCCATGGCATGGCTATCTGATGTACATGCTCCAGTAAGTTGCTTAAAAACTGAGCTAAGAGCAATTAATATTAAAATATAACAAAAAAACTGTAATAGAAAAAAGTTATGCTTAATATTATGGAAGGCTTTCTTCATTGATCAGTTGTCTAAGACTCAGTGACACAACCTGAAAATTGAATCAGCAAGAGAGCATGCAAAATATGGGGTGGGCAGAGGAAGCATTGGAAAAACTCTAGAAACTTACAGTAGTGACTATAAGAGATGCAGATCCTAGCCTGAACTATTTTATAGAAGATTCTAACATGCAGTAAGTTAAAAAAAATTAAAATCATATTGCACAGATTAATTAGGACAAATCACCTAAAACAAATATGGAAGCCCTTCACCAAAAAGCCGTTGAGAACAAATCACCTAAAACAAATTGCAGCACATCTACTAACATCGGATTTGCTGTTGGAAGAATATCATATAGGGTTCAATGCTATTCCTCCCACTCTAGACATCCTGTCATTTGATAGTATCTAAATAGATTGAAAATGTCAAAAACTTTCTATAGGAGATGGATGGAATCCTCCTCCGTTGCTTATCGAGCACATTGATAATCAAATCAACCAGCAATTCAAAACTGCTTCTATTAATACTCTAACCTTGATTAAAATCATTATTGATAAAAATAAGAGATATATGAGTTCCCATATCAAATACATAACATATTGAATTAACCTGATATTTTGCATGCATGATAAGTAAAATATAAAGTTATCTTATTCCACATTGAATTAACAGAATTGTAAACCTATCAAAGTTATCAAAAGGGCTTAAGCATTGTCATTATCATACCGAATGTAAGTGGATCATGTTCCCATTTTAGCTATCAATTACATGAGGGTTTAACACAAGGTGTTTCCATCGTTATCAAATATACAATATATAACCCATGTCACAGAGATGTCATTCCTCCTCATGGATCAGAGAACTTATTTTTTTGCAACTTATCCTGCCAGATGGAGATTGAACAACTCCGTTAGAAATGATAGTCTTCAGCATTTATGGTAGGATTTCACCAAATAATGCAATAAAATCTTTAAAATCACTCATTATCATGAGGTCATTTCATGCAACGGCCATAATAAGATATTTAAGATGGTTAGTCTATGCAATTGAGCCCCTCTGTTTTCATGGGACAACAAAAAACAGGGACTATAAGTATCAGAAAATCCAAATGGCCATAAATATAGGAGAAAATGGTATATTCCACTTGAGGAAGGACACCAACAACATAATACATACTATATGCCTGGATCTACATGATATGGATGTGAGACCTTTAATTTTTTAATGATAAATAGCAAACATTGTCAAAGTGGGATTGGGAAAGTGCAGAAATTTAGAAATATACCGATCGAAGTTTTGAACCAAAATCTGGGGTGAAATCAGGCAATATATCCACATGGGTTTTCAACATGCAGATCTCAGGTCCAACCTTCACAAAGAAAAACGAAGAAAAAAATATATTACATCTCTTATTGGGATGAACTTTGTATATACAGCTTAAAACAAAAAATAAGTCTGATAACCAACTAAAAGTTAAAAAATTTGCATAGAAAAAGACAAAGAGCTAACATCTAGTTGATAGTAAAAAGAAATACAAATCATCTTCATTATGTCCTATTATCATTGCATGAACAGGGATTAAAACCATTGAATGGACGGGTTAAAAAAAGGCAATGATCCTATAAGGTTGAATTAACAGATTTTCAAGCAATCAATCGCACTGGTTAACAACTAGACCTTTAAGAAGAAGAATACTTACTTCAAATACTACACTATAACCATGGAGTTTCAAAGTAAGAAAAGCGGGTTATGCTAAATATGGAGAGGAAAGAAAATATCTCATGAAAGGTGCTTGTCCAATATTGAAAATTAATATCAATATAGACAACAAACTTGTAAAATCTTGATGAACAACATAAAAATATGCCCTTCGCCCTCCTTTCTTTGCTGACCCATCTTGTTTTACATTTGCATCATCCATGCCACACCAATAGCAAGTTCCAGTCAACTTAACAGAGTATCTATAGTCAGAAACCGATAAGAACGGGCATAGAATTTATATCAAACATTATCAAATGTAAAATCATCAAGCATCCGCCTGTTTTTAGACTACCCCATTACTAATCCAAGTTTGAATTCGTAACAAGACCTTCTCCAACAATTAATGTTCTAAAGTCATGTGCGGTTTGTTTCTTCAAGACCCATTCTACCCTATTTTCATTCCAAGCCAATACCCCATCGTCAGCAAAGTGACAAGCAATGTTATCTGAATCCTGGGTCGCTTCGGTACATAGTATAAGTATATGATACAATACTTTTTGAGGTATGCATTACGATGGAATAGGCTTAGCTGGTACGGTATTTTAAGTCATAATTCATTTTAGAACTCTTATATAGATTGTTTTCACTACCATATATTACAAAAAATTAGTTACCATTTATCTTATAGTTGTACTTGATTGTCTATAACCTAAAGCAATATATAATTATAGATTTATATACATGTGGTTAATTAATATGTATTTTATATATGTGCTACATATTTTAAAACGAATTGATTTAGTGTTAGTATTATAATTTAGGGTCGCCCATTTTGGTGATCTGGATCGCAAACTCACCCCATTTGGGATCGATGATCATGGGTCGTCAAGGGTCGAGTGAATTGTGGTAACAATGGTGACAAGTAAAACACGATTTTAGGCATGGTTCCTGGAGTTGCTTTGGAATAGAAACTTTGTGGGGCCCAAATGTGTATACAACACTCCCATGGAGTCATCACTTCAAGTGATGAGAGCATACCAACCATGCAAAATGGCATGATATCTTATACCTGGAACACCGCATCCTAAGTTGTTCTTCCATTTTCGTTTCATTTATTTTTACTCTGCAAAAGGCACAGCCCAGCAACTTAACAGTAATACTTGTACCTCATGCAGAGAACTACTTGCAGCTAGTGTAGAACACAGTGATACCTTAAACTTCAAGAGTTGCACCCTATATTTCCTTTGGACACACATTCACACACAGATTACCGTTTCTCAGATGTCTTTCTTATCATAAAATCTAGGTTTTAGGTACTTTATCTCACCTTGTCAGCAATGTCAAGCAACTCAGCAGCTGTACCAACATCAGCAGCCAAGCACAAATTACTCTCCTTCTGCACCATTATCTCAAACAGCCTCTTCCCTGTAGGATTTTTTGCCACCTTTGCCCTCTCCCCATATGGAACCCTAACCCTAACTTTCTCCTTCTCTGCAACCTTCACCACTTCCACCATCCGATTCTCCTCCAAGAACTTCTTCACCATTTTCTCTGTCTCCTCCGAAACCCTCCCTTTCTCTTTCAAAATCCTCACCATTTCACTTAATTTCACTATCGCATGCAATGTAATTCCATTCTTCGCCAAGTTTTCCCTTCCACCTTGTTCCCTGTCCACCAAGCAAGAGTATATTCAAATGGAAAAAAAAAAAAAACTAAACATGATAAAAAGTAAATTTTTCACAAAAAGTGATGTTATGCGATCAAAATATTGATACTGACGTAGTCTATTTGTATTCCAAAAACGATCTATCTAATATAACAACTAGCAATTTGAATTACACAATAATAAATAAAAAACAACAGTTGAGGTTAATCCAATCTTCATCTAATTTCATGATATTTGCAACTGTAATTTCCGCTTAGTATGCGACTTCTTGTTATAATTCGGTGTGTGAAGCACTTTGATTTCAAATAATCCGAATCTTTGGCTTCAAAAAATGCATGTATTCTTGAATGCAGAGATGCCGCCGGATTAAGCAAAATAAACTCTGACTTTAACATTATACGATCCTAAATTATAAAAATTCAATCTTTCAAAATATGTATATGTCCACAAAAGAAAAACTGAGTTTGTTAAATCTATACCTGTCAATCATCACCACCGCATCGGTGACCTTGAGCCCGGCGGCACGAAGCGGAGCGGCTGTTTCAAGGACCGACGTGCCACTAGTAACCAAATCTTCAATAATCAAACAAATCTGATCTTCACTAAAAGCGCCTTCGATGGCCTTGGCAGTGCCGTAGTCTTTGATTTCCTTGCGGCGCATGACCATGGGAACATTGTCGGCGGTGGAGACGCAGGTGGCGATGGGGAGGGCGGTGTAGGGAACGCCACAGACAACGTCATAGTGGGTGGCTGATGGAAGGGAAGAGATTAGAGTTTGGGAGATCTGGCGGAGAAGAGTTGGGTAGGAGATGATGAGACGGAGGTCGATGTAGATTGGGGAGGATATGCCGGATTTGAGCTTGAAGTTGCCGAACTTCACGGCGGCAATGTCGTGGAGTTGGAGGATCAGGGACTCCATTGCCGGCGATACTGAGGCCATTCTCCTGAGGTCTTACAGGGTTTGGAGTGTGGCAATTCTAATATAGCGTACGACGTGTATTCAAGGGTAGCTTTGTGTCATTCTCATTTTTTTTCAATTTTAGGATTAGTGTACAGAAGATCATAATTATTGGATGAAATAATAAGACTAGTTTTGTTTACATATTATTAATTATATTTTTTTTTGCGTTTATAAAAGTGTAGGATGGTGCATAAGGCACTAATTTTTGGCACTCTAGAGTTTATGACCATTTGCTCACTCCCATAGATGATGAGTCTAGCTATCCCATCAACCAAGACCGATGTTTGTGATGTATGGATGAATGGATTGTGGAGAGTTGAAATTGGTAATTTATGGACTCATGTCTATGTTATTTAAATATGTCATATTTATTGTTTTAAAGATATTTTTTCAAGTGCTACTTTTGGTGGGGGGCCGAGTTGCGATGGCAGGGACCGGGGAAAAAAAAAGGTGTTCGTTCAAATTCGTTTCGTTCGGACCGGGATGAATTATATGTATTAAGTAGTAGATGTATACGAAGATATTCGTATAAATTCGTGCAAGAATGAAGGCGGGGATGAACTTACTCTTATCTCGTCCCGTCCCCGTTTACCCGTTAAGTATATATATATTTATATAAATATAAATATATATATCCATTAAACTCTAAGGCCTCTAACTTACTCCTCTTTCTAATTTTCTCTATTAGCAGCGCCGTCTCCTTCGATCTCAGAGACTCTCGCCTCTTTGTCTCATCTCATCTTTGAAGCCACAACTCACAAGCCAGGTGGCCCAGGCACAACACAAGCATCCCAGGTTTTTCTTTTATACCCAGAGAATCTGAATCCAACGGTTGGATTTCTTATTGAAGTTTTGGATTCCTTCTGTTTTAGACTTTGGCGACTAAATTTTTTTTTTTTTTAAAAAGCTTGTTCTTTTAAAATGGAATAAAAGGCTTTGTACAAGTTCTTAGAAGTTGAAACCCTTTGTCCAGTTTCAGAAGTTCTAATACTCTTACAAATCATCCACTTGATTTAGTTTATACGATTTTTTAAACTTTGAACTAATGATTTCAAGGGAAGTTTTCTTCTTGCATTATTGCTTGCCTGATGACAAGTTCTTGATTGGTGATTTTTTTTCCCTATTCAATATTGTCAAAAATTTCTTTGGCTGGACATAGAATGTCAATTAAAAATATTATTTCTTGACTATGTTTAATTATTTTAGATTGGGTATTTCTATAGATGTGGTTCAGTGGTTGCTGGGAATCTCCCTTATGTTCAGAGTTGACATATTTTCAGTTTGGATGAGATATGGTGGTAGATTATAGAGTCGTCTCTGTATGTTCTCCTTGAACCGCACTGAACTACATATCTAACGTATTAGTTGTTGCTGAAATGTTGGATTTATTTAAAATTTTGGATTATGTTGGCTTGAACTTGGACTTAAGCTTAGGCTTGAGCTTAGGCTTGAGCTTGGACTTGGGCTTGGACGGGTACGGGGAAGCGGGGACGGGGACGGAGATTATAAATTTACCCGCGGACGGGGATGTAGATGAAAATTATACCCGTTAGCGGGGGTGAATCGAGGATGAACGAATCTTTTTTAAACAGGTACGAGGATGAAGACAATACCCCCGCCCCCCAGCTTCGGTCCATTGACATCCCTAGGGCCGAGGGTTTTGGCGAAATTATAATGACACCTCGGAATTTATAGATTTGTTGCCTTAAAGCCCCTTAATAATTTTATAACGGATGAATTACACCCAGACCCTCTGAAGTTTGTCACTTAATCACTTAGACCCCTTGACATTTAAATTATTATACACAGACCCCCTGAGATTTTGCACGCGTAACACTTAGACCCCTGCTATAAATATATCCACTAATAAATTATACTTAGATCCCCTAAAATTTGTAAATATATAATTCTTAAATCTTTTAAGTTTAAAATATTATACTTAGACAAAAAATATTTCAATCAAATATAAAATATAAAATATTTTAAATTTTACAATCAAAATTTACGTTCTATTGTATCATGTATTAAAATAAGATTATAAATAAAAATTAATTTTTCTTAAAAAATTGTAATTAATATACAATTATACTATCTACTAGAATAAAACTAAAAAAAATCAAACAAAGGGTCTAAGTTATTCATAATAGAACATGAATTTTACATCCAAAATTCATGTTCTATTGTGTTATTTATTGAAATAAAATCAAAAATAAAAATTTAATTTTTTTTTAAAAAAAAATCATAGTTAGTATATAATTATACAATCTATTAGAATAAAATTAAAAAATTGAATAAGGGGGTCAAACTGTAATTGACACAATATCTTGTAGCTTTAATTGGAGAAGTTTGGTATTTTAATTTGATCGTTTAAACGACCAAATTAAATTCCAATAGACAATATAATTGTATATTAATTACGATTTTTTAAGAAAAAATTAATTTTTTATTTTTTATTTTATTTCAATAAATAATATAATAGAACATGAATTTTGGTTGTAAAATTTAAAATATTTGATTTTTTATTTTTGATTGGAGTATTTTTTGTATAAATATAATATTTTAAACATAAGGGGTCTAATATTATATACTTATAAACTTTAGAGGAATCTAAGTGTAATTTATTAACTGATATATTTATAGTAGGAGTCTAAGTGTTATGCACATACAAATTTTAGGAGGTCTATACATAATATTTCAAATGTCACGGGATTTGGGTGATTAAGTGACAAATCTCATGAGATCTATGTGTAATTCTTCCTTTTATAATTGACTGAGAAATCTTAATTTGACAACTTTAATGCTATCAAATTCAATATTTAAAAGCGTTATTGAAGGAAGAAAATTAAGTGTTAAAGCTACATTATTTAACCTCTGTATTCGCATTTATGCTTAGTATAAATGTAATGACCTCGATAACTCAAATGAATTTTTAGTTATTTTAACTTAGGATGATTATGATAAAAATAAAATTAGGAAGCGATCCACTTATGATTCATAGGAGATTTTAAAAACAAAAATTTCTAAATTATTTTTGTGTTTTGAAAATATAGTTTAAGACACAATCATACGTCTCTTTGAGTAACACCATTTAACACTCAAGAAAATAAATTTTTGCATTGTTTTAGGCTTAAAAACCTGTAGTGATCGATCTCTGCTCTCTAACATTCGCTAAAACGATCTCTTTATGACTTGGAGAAGGAAATTAAAAAAGGTCATAGAAAACAGCACGAGACTCGCTCTATGAGCTCATTGGAGCAATGCTTACCTTAGTTGTGTATGAAACTTTGTTTTCAATCCAACGACAACCGTTCTATGATCGCTCTTTCACTAACCAAACGGTTGTTCGCAAATCTGAGTTTTCTTATTTACTAAGACTACCTTTATTCTGGAGCTATAAATATGGAGAATCTTTTTTCACATCTATGTTAGCCTCTAGAGCTTTTAGAAATATTTCAAAAAGAGAAATTCATATTTCTATCTTGAAAGCTTCTACCACAACCTAAATTCTTTATAGGGGTGTTCAAATTTTCGATTAGCCGTAATTTCCTATCCTACCTGACCCTATTGAACGGTTAGCCAAAAAAATTTGAAAATAAATAAATAAATAAATAAATAAATAAATATATATATATATATAAACTAAAAAACTCTAATTCCCTAACCTTATGGTTTAAACTTAAAATAATTGTTATTGTATTTGTGCAATAATTATGCTGAATATTTTATTGTAATTGTTGTTGTAATTGTTTTAAATTTTAGTGTTATTGATTTATTGTGTTGTTAAATTGGTGCATGTTATTTAATTGAATTATTAAAATGAGCCAAAAATTAATAATTACAAAAGTGTTTACCCGATTTCCTATTCGATTAATTTGACCGAAAATCGAGTAGGAATACCACACTTGATCGGGTAGGGTATTCCACAAAGTATCGGATAAGAAGTGAAATACTATATTTTCCATCTGTAGGGTAGGGTGAACACCCTTAACTTCTTAGATTCAAAAGCTATCGCTAGTGATTTTACTCAACCTTACAAATTGGTATTGAACAACTTGTTGGTTGAAACATGAGTAAAATGGGAAACCAAATGTACCTGTTCAACTTTTATGGGAAAAAATTATTATCCTACACAATTTACAAGAGTAAAAGGGAGCACATTGTTATCAAATAAAAATTAAAAGTTTGGAATTACACACTGAATTTTTTTTACATAATAGCAGTATGACCCTTTTTTGTCCAAATTTGTGCCATTAATTTGTGATTTAAAAAAAAAAGAGTAAAAGGGAGCACATTGTTATCAAATAAAAAAAATTCAGGATTTAATGTGAAATATTTTATATTTAACGAGACAAAATATAAATATTAAAATCTTTCTCGGCTAAAGTGTCATTCCCCCCTAACTTTAATTATTTTGCGGTGGTGTCAATGGTCCATGGGGAATCATTATCTTCTACTTTAACCATTGAAACACATTTAGTGGAGGACACTAAGTCGTCCATTTGCTAATAGATTAGATTTTAACTCCAATCTGATTCGAATTTGAATTTAATTGGTCAGATGTGGATTGATTTTTTTTTTCACTAATAATTCTACCCTGAATTCGCATTTGTTGGATTATATTTAAAGAATTTGAATTTGGATATGCATACATTTGATCTGATTATAATCTGTTATGAAATATTTATATGTTTATATATAAATATTGAAGAAATTAAGCAGTTATTTCCAAGCATTCTTATTTCAAGAGGTTTTCCTCAAACCCAGTCCCCCTAAAATCTTATTTCCATAACCCAGTTAGTTTTGAACTTATTTTCCAAACCTAGCTTCTTTTTGAAAACATCATTTGTAATGACGCCTTTTGGTGTAAAAACGTTAGTTTAAATGACGATTTCAAGTTGCATATTTTTTTCCAAACATGTCATTAGGAATGAAGTTTTTCAAATCGTCATTTGTAATGACATTTTGTAACGAATGTCTAACAGACCCCTAACAAACGTTTAAAAAATAAAGGGAAGAAAATGTCATTGCAAATGACGTTTTTAAAC